GAATCGATTAAATTATCAATTTTAAATTTTTAATAATTATTTTGAATTTTTTTAAAATCTCCGCAAATTTGCCATTGGACGCACACAACTTTTGTTCTATGAGAGATATGAAAAAGTCATCAATACTTTTTTTTGCAAAATGACATTGTGAAAACCTTTTATTGAAACTTTCTCCATATTTTTCATATTTCAGGAGATAATCGGATTTGCATACCAAGCAAGTAATTTTCATTTACATATTCGTGTTCTTCACGAATTGTTTGATAAAATGACCCGTGTTTCAATCATTTTCTCCATTATAAGGTACTCTTCAGTCATCTCCCTCATTTGATTGGTCTATAATGGTGAGTGATAGATACTGAAACGATTTTTGTAGTAGGTACTATTTTTATTTAACCGGGTATTTAAATAACACATTATTTATTTGCACAATGTCATTAATTTGCACAACAACCACACAATCGTCTTATAAATGCTTATTTATTTATTACTTTGTTTATCACTGTATTCGCTTTATAATTCATGCTATTTATAAAGATTGTCCCATTTATAATAATAAAAAAAAAAACATGGCTTCCTGACACAAAATACAACAAAAAAGTGTTATACAATTTTTCAATCCAGTGACAATTGAGCTCACAAATTGTCTTTGTAAATTTGAACGTACAATTTGTTTCATTACGGGCCTGGATCTAAGCGACTAACGTCGCTCAGCTGATCTAGTGTGGATGTAACAAGTACCTACCGAGAAGAAGCCGAATGCACTTCCACTTTGTAAAAAAAAGGTAAAAGTGAAAAAGAAATGCGTACTTTTTATAAAAAAATATTTAAATTGTCCACCATTCGCTTCAATGCAACACTGACAGCGACGTACCTAGTTGCTGCGAATTTTGGCCCAGATACCGGGAATATTTCGAATTATACGATAGGCGTTGGTAATGTAACTCACCACAAACTGANTCGTCTTTGTAAATTTGAACGTACAATTTGTTTCATTACGGGCCTGGATCTAGGCGACTTACGTCGCTCAGCTGATCTAGTGTGGATGTAACAAGTACATACCTATTGGGTAGAAGCCCAATGCACTTCCACCTTGTAAAAAAAAAGCTAAAAGTGAAAAAGAAAAGCATATCTTTTATAAAAAATGTTCAAATTGTGCGCGGTACCGCGATACCGGGAATATTTCGAATTATACGATAGGCGTTGGTACTGTAACTCACCACCAACTGACGGTTGAATAAGAACTGTACCAGAATGCACTAATAATTACATTACTAATTGTCCTTATTGTAAAAGTCTTTTATGAAATGATCACTAAATAAATAAACTAACAGTAACAAACAAGTAAATTCCACAACAACCTGTTACAAACGACATTAAGTGTATTTATTCCAGTCACTTCCAGCAGTGTATTTATACGAGGTTATATCAATATTTGGCATTTTACGTTTAATGAAAACAAAATAACCAACTTGGTCCTTCTGGACACATCCTTGTATTACTCCACGTGGGGTTAATGAGCCCTGCCAGGCAAAACTAACGTCAGAATGAGCAGTTTAACACATGTGATTGGTCAAAGTAGGTCTGCATCTTGTCTCAACTTTTACAACCATAACACATACATCTGTTTTCGTACACTAGTACGTTATGTTACAAAACCTTTACCAAACGTTGGGTGGCCAGGGTTGTTTGTGCACCGCTTCTAACTATTCCGTAGTCTAGTATAATTTCTTTTCTATTTAAAATAACATGATACTCGACGTCATTGGTCACATTAGGTCCACTTCAGTTTACGATCATGGTATTTTCGATTGTGATAAGTACGTAGTTTTTCTAACATGTTCAGTCACCTAATGGACGCGAGTGCATTTTCTTTGGCTGATCCGTAACTTAATACCAAACGTAAACAATAACATTACCCCAAAAAGCAGCTGATTCCGACCTACTGAAGGTGAATTTTTCTAAAAAAAGTTTCATTCCCACCAGCCAGTAATGCTGGTGGGCGGGCAGTCCCTCCGGACTATGCCGGAAGGTAGGGCGGAAGGCGCTTTTCAGCCTGCTTTCAGGAATCGTGGGAATGGGTGGGTGGTGGTTCGGGTGAGAAAGGTGAGACGGACGAAATGAAGACAGAAGAGAATGAAAGATTATCTGTGGAATATTACTGCCTCAGCATTTGTCTAGGTGATCCAAGGAAACCACAGAAAAACTTGGACCAATGCAGACGGACCCGGAATCGAACCGGCATCCTCCCGAATGCTAAGCAATGGTCTAGACCTCTAGGCCATGCCGCTCGGTTGACTTTTTTATTTTGTTTCAAAAATTGATAACATTTTATGTTTCCGAATAACTGGGACACCCTATATATACTGATTAGCTGTCCATTTACCAAATAACGCTGGTAATCATCCAGAGGCCTATTTTTGTTGTCAATCGAAAGTCCTTCTTGTTATGCGGCGTCCTGAATAATTTATTACCTTCGGCGTCTTTATTAAAATGGACGGGCCCCTTCAAACTCGTATGTATCACTGTCTTCTCCTTAATGATGATCCGTCCCATGTGTGTGTGTGTGTGTTGTACAGGGTGTTATAAGAAAAAATCTATCTAATCTCCCGATTTTCAGTAGGATGCGTCTTTCCGCTGTGAGAATAGTATGTGTGTGTCCCGGTGTGACTGTAGTTAGCGATATTACTCGAAAATCTATGAGAGGCCTTACGAAAGTTTTGTAAGTGTGAAGAAGTGTGTCTGTGTTATGCGACCGTTTATTAGTGAGATTAAGTTTACGCGATTACGTACTCTATCAAGTGTGTGTGGGTTCATTGTGTGTGTTACAGTGATTCCTAGGTATCTAATTGTTTTCTGTAGTGTTAGTCGACTATTTAATAAACTGACGTTGTAGTCGTCCGTTGAAAGAGATGTTTTGGTGGTGAGATTAGGGTGTGTGTAAATAATATTAGTTGTGTTTTATTTGGGTTATATTATGGGCCACTTTCTGAGCCATAGTTCAAGTTGAATAATTTGTCGGTTAATTTTAGAGTTATATGTTGTTTAAAAGTTAGGTTAGCATTGGTAATGTGTTCGCTAAGTTTTTTTAATTTTCTTATAGTCGCGTATATCTATGTGATCGGATGTTTAGTGTTGCGGACAGGGGTACGTGGTCGCTAGTGACTGGTGTTCCTAATTCGCAGTTACCTGAAAAAAGGCGACTCTGTCGGCACAGAATATATGATCTGGAATTGATGAGCCTTGGTGACCGAAAAAAAATAGTGTTTTAATGCGACAGAAATTTATTAATTCTCCCTGTGCTTTGGAGAATATGGGCGGAGTTTATGAGGGCAATGTCGTCAGAGTAAAGAGCATCGAGGTGTTGGAGGGCATGTCCGCCCAAAACAGTTTAAAAAGAGTGGGAGACAATTTGGAGTCTTGTAGGACACCGCCTGTGACGGGTTTTCTGGAGTAAGGAACAGAGCCAACGCGGACCCGAACACCCGGAGGCTTCTGTCTGTGAGGAAGGACCTGATAACCTCAATTTGGAAATGTTTGGAGGTAAGGCCTTCGTACCAGGCTCGGTCGAACGCTTGTTGGACGTCAGAAACAAGCATGGAGGTGTGACGTCGCTTGTAAGGTTATCGGAAATGTATTCGAATAAGCGAAAAGGTTGGTGGCCGGTGCCGTGATGCCTGCGAAAACCGTATTGATGATTGGGGAGAAGGCTGTTTTGCTCCACGTGGTCTAAGAACCGATCGAGAAGGATGGATTCAACTACAGTGTAAACTCTATATAACGACACTTAAGCGACTGAACATTTTTCGGCGTTATAAAGAGTGGTCGTTAAATGAAGAGAAAAGATATTATTTTACTATTCNTGTACACAGGAATATCCTTCAGGATCGTTGAACACAGTATCACAGGGATAGCCACAAGATTATCCTTTACAAACGTTGATTCGCTGGAATCCCACCGCTGCCACCAAAAATGTTGTGTCCCCGATAAATATATATTTATACGCGGGAACTTTAAATTAGGGTTCGTGCGAAATGGTTAAGACTTGAAAGTCAAAATCAAACTTTCGGCAATGATAAGTCCTTAATTATACTTTATTAAAATTAACAATACACTATTTATTTACTAATGAACTTTAACTACAATTGTGGAACGAGACAGTAACGATTTAGAAACGATTTTAGATGAGTGCTTAGATGTTCTCCCTTGCTTTCTCTTTTCCAGAGGTTTATATACCCTCGGCTGGCTTGGGGTGAATTCAAAGAATTTACTAAAAAGCTGTCCTCGAGTCAAATTCGAGGACGTAGCCATAAATATCCGGTTAACAAAAGATTTGTACTTTTTTTTAGACGATTTGCTTGATTCTAAGAAGGTTGGAGAAAGCTAGGTAGGTAAAAGTGTATACCTAGTACTGCCTGTCCATAACAGTTTTTTGCTGCTCCAATATATTCATTGTATTTTGTTACGTATCTTACTCATATCTTGAGATATTGCTGGATCAATTTGATTATATAAAAAGTATTTTTTTAATAGTTTGGCTACATCAAGTGTTTGTTTGATGCTAGGTGGAGGGACAGGATCGTCTTCTTCATCAACGTACACAGCTGCAGTTCTTTTCCATTTCGGCAACTTAGAAAGTACTGCTCAATGATTTATAATGCCACATTGTTGTCGTTAAATAGAGTGAGCGTGGCGCTATATAGAGTGTAATATTGTATAAAAACAATGTAAACCAAGCAATTTCGGCGTTTTAAGGAGTTTGTCGTAAAATTGAGTTTCGTTATAAAGAGTTTACACTGTATTTTAATCAACGAACTGACTAGGCTGATGGGCCTGTAGCTTGAGAACTGAGGGGCTTCCTGTTTTTTTGGGGAGACATATGGCAGTGGTTTCTTTTCATACCAAAGGGAAATGGTGGAGCCGTATAATGACGTTTGTGATATTGCACAGTGCGGTTATGTGCTGTGGCGGCAGAACTTTAAGGACTCCGTTGGGAATTCCGTCAGCGCCAGGAGCTTTTCTCGTTTTCAGGGAACGGATGGTAATAAAGATTTCATGGGGGGTGAATGTGTTTGAGGAGCACTGGAGGCATAGAAAGTCTGTGAAGATTGCAGCTTTTTCTTCGTCTGAAGAGTAGGTGGCGTCGTTCTGTTTTAGTGAAGAGAGATAGAGATCTCTGTTTCGAAGAGAACGGATCATATTCCCAGCGCTTCAGGGGTGTGTTTCTGCCTGAGCGATATAATCGTCGAAGAATGGGTTGTTTGCGGCGAGTTTTGACTGGGGAGGAGGAGGAACGAGAGATCGTGGAGAACTCGACGGCGCTGGTAATCTCGTTTGAAAGATTTACAGCTTCACGAGTTCCGCTATTGTGTGAATTTGAGTACACTTAAAAGATGTCTCAAGGATGTAGCGCAGATGTAGCCAGTCTAATGAGGATGTTAGCTTTGGGGGTTGTATGTTGGACGGCCGAATTTAATTAGGAGAGCAAGAGGGCCTGAACTGAGTTCGTTAAGAACAGTAAGGTCGGCGGAGAGATTAACGTTCCTTGTGACGAAGATGTCGAGGATATCTGGAAGGTGATTGTGACAAGTCAAGAGAATTGGCAAGAAGGGAAATGCATTTTTTATTATTATGTCGGAGTCCCAAGAGGCGTGTTAGACATTACGATCGCCTACAACGAGGAGGTTTGAAAGTCGGTGGTCAAAGAGATAGGCTTGTGTTTAATAGAATTCCTAACGAGAATGACTACGCCGCTGCCGCTGGATCACGATCCCTTCTGTAGACTGTGAAGTTTAAGGCATAAAGATTGATTTGGTGAGATAAGAAAGTGTCGGTGATGCAGGTAACACCGATTGACTTTTCTTCAAGGAAGCGTCCGTTCAGTCAATTTTCCTCTAGTGCCATGGGTATTCCAGGTAACTAACCGAAGACTATTTGAGTGAACTGTATTAGACATTGGTGGGTGGTTGGAGAACGCCATTGTTTGGACGATAATCTGAATTTTATCTTGATGCACCTGATGTTGTGGCGGTGCTTGGGGTTGAGTTAGGTTTGTGGGTAGGGGTGCTTTCACGGCCGATTTGTTGGGCACTCTTTGGAGCAGCCGGAGTGGTGGTCTTTTTCGGGGCGTTGGTTCTGCGCGGAACCTTGGGACAACCGCGATGGGTGGCGCGGTGACTTCCTTTGCAGTTAGCGCAGGAAGGAATGGGGTCTTTTTTGTCCTTTGCCTTCCATTCGGCTGAGACATGATTACGGCTGCAGAAGGAACAGACCCAGGCTGGTCGTGTGAAAGAATTTCAGACAACGACAGAATTGGCGGGCGTCTTTATTGACTCTTTCAGACACAACTTTGACGTTGAGCCCGCAGATTTTGCCAAGTTCGAAAATTGACTTGGACTTTTGGTCAGACCTGTCAAAGCGAACGGATACTAGTGGCCAAACATTGCCACTGTTGGACATACGGTGGACACCACGGATAGCGAAACCTTTATGAGATCATTCGGACTGTTTTGTCATCCGTGGAGATGGACTCACAAACTCCACGAAGAATGATCTGAAGGTCCCTGTCTTGGCGGAGCTGGTTTGTTGAGAATTCGACGTTTGACTCATCAAGGAGAGAAGATAGGCGACGAAAGTTCTCCATAGAGTTGGGATACACCCTGATGGAGTCGCTTGTGTCAATAGCACGTCGGGCTGAGATACCTATCGTGACCGTCCATGTCACGGAGATGGGCCAAACTCTTAAGTCACACGGTATTTATAGACCTCGACTAAACAGTAATTTTATTGGTGTCCGCCCAGAAGTTTCGTGAATCGACAATCGATATGTGTTAAGAAACAATGACAGATAACCATTCCAATTTCTTTAATATTTGAAAACCATCTTGGACAGGTACTAATACCAGATCATCCTCTGCTCCGTGGACAGATCATAAATAGATTAGTTATGTCCACGACGATCTTCGAAAATAGTCCACGTGGAGTTTATTGGTAGCTAGGATTTTCATAAATGTAATTGATAATTCAGCCCGATTTTCTCCACGTAGACTTGATTGACAGCTGCGACCATTACCTACAAATGTCAAGTAATAATTAGAATTTTATGTAATATTTACATTTCCTCGTTCTTTCTTCCTAATCTCCAGTCATCAAGGTTGTACCATGCGACATCTACATGAATTATACAAAAGAACGAGAGAAATCAGTTATACCTCTTCTCCCCAGTGAGACCACTTAGCCGCAAAGCTACATCACTGTTAACGAGTTGAAAAACTACATTTCATCTCCAAAGAGACTGCGTAGCTGCAGAGCTATTTTGCTGCCATTCAACATTCAATTCTATGTTATTTATTTGAGATAAGATTAATAAATTCTTCTTGACAGCAATATTTTTATTATGTATATAGTGACTTCTATTTTTTTATGATTTATTACAAATTAATGTTGTAGCTTTACAAAAAAAATTGTTAGATGGATAGATGCTTTCCTTTTTATTACATCAAGTTTAATGAATGTTTTAGAACAATGACAGTGGCACTGATATCTTCATCTGGGAGAATAGGAGCAATGTTTGGAAATATAATATTTCCTTATCTTCTAAACGAGGGATGTCTTCCACCATTCCTCTTCATAAGCGCAGCAATTTTTGGTTTGTAATTTCTCTATTATGTGGATATGTAAGCCAAATTAACTGTGATGTAAGTAATTACCAATATTTTCTTCTAGCTAGTGCAGTGTTGGTCGTATTTCTTCCCAAGACAGACATGAAGTCCCTGGAATAATTCCACTAAGAATCCTAGCAAAAATGTTGGTTGGCATGAAAGTGATTTAGAATAAAGTTTAACTTATGAATGTATGCCAACAAATGGACAATAAAGTATTAGTAAATAGATATTTTAGCTTTTCATGATGAATAACGTCATCCATCTCTTAATCCTTCGATGAACACAGTTACGGCTAACTTTTCGAGAGTATCAACAGGCATCAGTCAGTTAGTTTTGCCTCTCGCGTATATGTCATTCCCTAATAATTTATTACAGTCCATTTCAATTTATTAGAAATGTGACCTTGAAGAAATCTGCGCGAAGATAGAAAGAATACACACTAGGCGTGAGCAAGACAGAAATACTTGGAACAAGCTTGAATGAGCAGAGCTATCGATGGGCGGTCTTAGAAGATCGGCTAGAACTGTACAGTACTAGACGAAAATGTTTAGCAATTTCTTAAAACAAAAATGTATATAAATTAATAATAGAAAACAAAGCAAAAGTTTTATAGGTGTGTAATGCGTTAAGTTAATTCACTTGTTATTATTTTTGATTAAATATGCTTTTAAATGAAGCATATTCTTAAATTTTAACGAGGCAGTTTAAATAATTTTGCAAATGGTACTGTACACTTTTGTCTAGTTCTCGCTCGATGATCGGTGTAGAAATGAGCTCCGCAGACAAATATGATTGAATTTGGAAATATGTTACGGCGCATCCTAATAAAGGAAAGGGGCATTTCTCCAACTTCTTGAAACGAACAGTACATTTGGCGTTTTTTTTTAAGAAGATTGCCGATCGTCACCCCTCTCCTTAATGATTTTTCTTCTCGGATCATATTCTGTCCTTCATTCAAAGGATCATGTCAGTACTTGCACGTCACACGAAATTATCAATTCACGGTTTTCGACTGGGTGGGTTCTCATCGTGGATTGCCAGTGCATACAAAAGTGTCTACTCGAGTGTTATACCCGAACAGGAAATCCAACATACTTTGTATTATTCTGCAGCTCAGCAAGAAGTAGGTGTTTTTTCCAGATTACTCTTCTTCAAGGTAGTAGATAAATCAGTTTTCATCTGGTAAATTTAACACCTTTCTTCTATTTCCGGTAGCTTGCCCAAATTTTTCTTACCGCAGTTTACCGATATTTCGGACTCTTTGACTACCCAGTGACCAGTGAATATTCCTTCAGGACAGCAAATAGGTTTTGAAGTGACCTAACCTAATATAACCTAACCTGGCTTTGGAATATAAGCTCGATGTAACTATACATTCTTCGTACTGGGGATCCGCAGATTGAGTTTGCATAATAATTCTGACCGTATATATTCCTATATATACATATGTAAGTTTAATGCAGGTATGACAGTGTGTAGGATACAATGTGCTCCTACAATATAATAAAAAAAGAAATTTCTTATAATTTCTCAAATCAAAATTCTGGTGTTATTAAGAAGCCTTTTCACATTACTAACGAAATTAACATATTAACCAAGGTATTTTACGGAGTTGCAATAACTATTTACTGAATCAGATATTCTATTAACAGGGGCATACAGAACATAAGATTTCGAGGTACGAGATTTAGTTAGGACGCGATTTTATCTAAAACCCTGTCGAGGAACACACAGCGGAAAAAGTTCTAACAATTCCTGTGAATCAATAAAAAGATTTATAATTCTATAAAAGAACAAAGATAAGTCTGTGTTTTCCGAAGAGCCAGTTTGCTGAGATCATATCGCACGTATATTTCATTAATTTGACTGAAGGAACATTCAGATAATATGAAGTAAACCAGAAATTTACAAACCTTATATTGCACTCTCTCGAGCCCATTGATATGAACTTCGTAGTGCGGAGATAAGACGACGGTATAGTATTCAAAAATTGGTTTCACTGGTGCTATAATAGTTTTACCAGTGTTTGGGGGTTACTAAAATCTTTTCCCGTCGAAATATGCAGCCAAGCACCTTGTAGGCTCTTACGGTAATGTATTGTATGCGTAATAAAGTCCAGTTTATCATCAATAAAGACACCAAGGTCCTTAAACACAGTTTCTACCCAGAATAGTTGACTTCCGAGACAATAGTTTACTGAATATTTATTATGCAGACGCGAAAATTGCAATACGACACTTTTATTAACATTTAGCTTGAACATGTTGTTGTCACCATTGCTCAAGATAGTCGATGTCATCTTGTAACTTCTGCACATCAAATGGTTCGGAAATTACTCTATACACTTTTAAATCGTTATCATACAGCAAGTAGTCAAACAATAAATCTAAACCAATATCGTTAATGAAGATGTTGAAAAGAACGGGGTCTAGATGTGAACCTTGGAGTACACCCGATTCAACCAGGTAGTTTTGGGACACAGGACCTTTTACGCGAAACGTAGCCGCCTCCCTAAGAGATAAGACCAGAGCATTACTTTGAATGCGCATTAGAGGTAAATTGACTGAACTCGAACACTTCCTCGAGGAAGTGATCCATTCTCTTCGCAACAGAATCCCATCTTCCGCCACTAAAGCAGAACAACTCCACCTATTCTTCAAACGAAGAAAAAGCTGCAATCTTCGCAGACTTTTTATGTCTGTAGTGTTCCCCACTACCTAGTCCAGTGGACCTTGCCGACTTTAACAAGCATACCAAAGCTGTCTCCCAGAACTTCGTTCCCCTGAATTCCGACTTCGAACACAATTCCCCATGCCAAATCTTCCTCATCATCCGATCTCTGTAAAAGAGAAAAGCCCCTGGCGTTGACGGAATTACTAACGGAGTCCTTACAGTCCTGCCACCAAAGCACATAACCGCACTGTGCAACATCACAAACGCTATCATGCCGCTCCACCACTTCCCTTTGGTCTGGAAAGAAGCCACTGTCATCTGTCTCTCCAAAAAAGGGAAGCCCCTCAGCTGACCCTTTTTGTATTTGTGGGTTAACACTGTTATTAAATAACACGAATGTTTGATCTGAACACAATTGTTTATTTATTATTTGAGAGGTACAATGTTGACAATGTTGACTCGAGTTAGATCGGACAAAGACTGACTATTCCCGATTCACTCAGCCAGATGGCTCTGTTGCCAACTTGTAACNCAGTGTGATAATCCCACTTCTGACACCACTTTTGTATTTGTGGGTTAACACTGGTATTGAATAACACAAATGTTTGATCTGAACACAATTGTTTATTTATTATTTGAGAGGTACACTGTTGACAATGTTGACTCGAGTTAGATCGGACAGAGACTGACTATTCCCGATTCACTCAGCGAGATGGCTCTGTTGCCAACTTGAAACCTTAAGATCAATACACAACATTTCCTCCCTTCTTTAATTAACTATTAAAACTTGGATTATTAAAAGAAAAAAATAAAATGAAATGAAATAAATAAAAAATAAAAAGAACGTTCTATTTTAAATTTTGAGCAAAGAAAAACACCTTCCCATCTTGTCTCTTCTTTTCTACACTTTACGTCACTCCGGAGAGAACCGAAGTGGAGCACGGCGCTCTCGTTGAGATCTGCGTGGAATCCTTGGGGTGGACGGCATTGCGGGTGCAGGGATCGCAGGAACCGGAGATGCTACAGGTGTAGTCGGATGTGCTGGAGTTCGTCTTGATGTTTGTGGCTGCTCTGACTGAGCTTGGGCTTGGCCGTAGAAACGTGTCCTGCGTGGTGCACCGCAATTGATTCCGTCGCCAACGACACGATCAGGTTCTGCTGCTCCCATTGTGTTTTCCCGATCTGGTGAATGCTCATGACTGCGAATCTGATCAATGTGCCTTTTGAACCGTTTGCCGTGAAATTCAATTTCGTAGTGCAAATCTCCCAAGCAGGACACGACTTCTCCAACAATCCATTTGTCCATGCGCGGATTTTCTGAAAGAAAATACACCAAGTCCCCCTGATGAAATTTACGGTAGGTTGCATCAAAACTGGCCTTCTGTTTCTCAGAAATCTTGGTGTGTAAATCATCTGGGAGAACAAGGTTGAGTCTTGCGCGCAGATCACGCCCAATGAAAAGCTGAGCAGAGGATGCACCGGTGGTAGCGTGAGGAGCTTTCCGATATTGTCGCAGGAACTAGTTGATGTTGCTTTGAAGAGTGCTCTCGGTTGTTGACATCGCGCGCAGGGCGTCCTTGACCGTCTGTACGCATCTTTCAGCTTGGCCGTTTGTCGAGGGATGGTAAGGAGCTGTGAGCTTATGGTACTTCACGCCAGACATCATCAAAAAGTTTTTGAACTCTGCGGATGTAAATTGAGGAGCATTGTCCGAAACCAGGATGACTGGTGCCCCAAACGTTGCAAAAAGGTTGTCGAGGATTCGGCTCGTAGCAGCTGATGTCGTGGACTTGGTTACTCTGACTTCCAACCACTTGCTATAGGCGTCCACGATAATGAGCAACATGTTTCCAGCAACTGGCCCGGCGTAATCAATGTGGATTCTCTGCCATGGAGCTGTAGGGTACTCCCAGTGGTGCTCTCGGAATTGGACGGGGGCNAAAAATAAAAAAAACGTTCTAATTTAAATTTTGAGCAAAGAAAAACACCTTCCCATCTTATCTCTTCTTTTCTACACTTTACGTCACTCCGGAGAGAACCGAAGTGGAGCACGGCGCTCTCGTTGAGATCTGCGTGGAATCCTTGGGGTGGACGGCATTATAGGTGCAAGGATCGCAGGAACCGGAGATGCTACAGGTGTAGCCGGAAGTGCTGGAGTTCGTCTTGGTGTTTGTGGCTGCTCTGGCTGAGCTTGGGCTTGGCCTTAGAAACGTGTCCTGCGTGGTGCACCGCAATTGATTCTGTCGCCAACGACACGATCAGGTTCTGCTGCTCCCATTGTTTTCCCTGATCTGATGAATGCTCATGACTGCGAATCTGATGAATGTGCCTCTTGAACCGTTTGCCGTGAAATTCAATTTCGTAGTGCAAATCTCCCAAGCAGGACACGACTTCTCCAACAATCCATTTGCCCATGCGCGGATTTTCTGAGAGAAAATATACCAAGTCTCCCTGATGAAATTTACGGTAGGTTGCATCAAAACTGGCCTTCTGTTTCTCAGAAATCTTGGTGTGTAAATCATCTGGGAGAACAAGGTTGAGTCTTGTGCGCAGATCACGCCCAATGAAAAGCTGAGCAGGGGATGCACCGGTGGTAGCGTGAGGAGCTTTCCGATATTGTCGCAGGAACTCGTTGATGTTGCTTTGAAGAGTGCTCTCGGTTGTTGACATCGCGCGCAGGGCGTCCTTGACCGTCTGTACGCATCTTTCAGCTTGACCGTTTGTCGAGGGATGGTAAGGAGCTGTGAGCTTATAGTACTTCATCATCAAAAAGTTTTTGAACTCTGCGGATGTAAATTGAGGAGCATTGTCCCATTGTCCAAAACCAGGATGACTGGTACCCCAAACGTTGCAAAAAGGTTGTCGAGGATTCGGCTCGTAGCAGCTGATGTCGTGGACTTGGTTACTTTGACTTCCAACCACTTGCTATAGGCGTCCACGATAATGAGCAACATGTTTCCAGCAACTGGCCCGGCGTAATCAATGTGGATTCTCTGCCATGGAGCTGTAGGGTACTCCCAGTGGTGCTCTCGGCATTGGACGGGGGCGTGTGCATGCTTTGCACATTCAGTGCAAGATTTGGCGACATGCTCAATTGCAGCATTGATGCCAGGCCAAAAAACAAACAAGCGGGCCAGCCCTTTCATTTTGACGATTCCGATGTGAGCGGCGTGCAAATCCTGAAGAATGGCGTTTCTGAGTGAAGGTGGAATCACAACTCTGTGTTCAAACAACAAACAATTAGCGGTCGCGGTGTAGTTGGCTTCAGGTGACTTGAAGCCGTGACGAAGGAGGTCTTGACCTGATTCCAAAAGCTTCAGAATGTTGCCAAGGTGCTCATTTTCCCTAGTTGCCCTGGCGATGGCTTCTGCTCGAATTGGTAATTGTTTGATTTGGTGGAGTACAAAGTGGTTGACCACTCGTCCGTTCCTGCTCCTTCCCCCTCTACCAATGACTGAAGACAAACTTGGTTGACCGTGGTTGGTAACGGCACCCTGGAACAGTAGTCTGCGTTGGCGTTTGCCTTCGAGTCTTTGAAAACCACCTCGAGTCAAAATGAGCGAAGTAATCTGCGTAGTTTGCCATCCGACTAATGCACAGCACCTGCAGTGATTTTTCTGGATGCAGGATTTGTGTTAGCGGTTTGTGGTCCGTGATGAGAACGAAATGACGTGCGTAGAGTTAGACGAAAAACTTGTTCACAGCCCACACAATCGCGAGCGCCTCCTTATTAATTTGAGGGTATCGTTGCTCTGTGGCGCTCATCGTTCGGCTTGCATAGGCGACTGGTCGTTCCTGATTGTTGCTCAGGCGGTGCGACAGCACAGCTCCCAACCCGGTTTTGCTGGCATCAGTCGCCAGCAATAGCGGTAGCGAGGGGTCGTATTGCATGAGAACCTGGGGTGATACCAAAGTTTCTTTGATGTCAACGTATGCTTCGCTACGAAGAATGTCACGCAAAGGCCGATCTCGCGTTGACAAATCCGGGATGAATGCGCTGTAATACGTAGCCTTTCCCAGAAAAAGTTGCAGTTCCTCCGGTGTTGAAGGCTTTGGTGCATCGCGGATAGCTTCGATGTGGCAGTCGGATTTGTGGATTCCCTGTGCATCAAGTTTGTGACCCAGGCAGTGGAGTGTAGTTTCTGCAAATTTACATTTGGCTCTGTTGAGTTTCAGCCCATGATGACGCATCCTTTCCAGCACGGCACACAGGGCCCGGAGCAAGTTTTCGAACGAGTCTGCGAAGACGATGGTATCATCGAAAAAATTGACGACGCAGGGCAGATCACGCAGCACTTCTTCCATTCGACGTTGCCACACTGCATGGATGTTTGCTGCTCCGTAGGCCGCGCGTGTCGGTCGGATTAGGCCATGAGTAGGCGTGATGAGAGTCATCGCGTGAGCACATTCGTCGTCGATTGTGAGATGCGTATAGGCATGCGTGATGTCAAGATGACAGAACCACTTTGCGCCTCGCATCTTGTTAAAGATGCACTCCACTCGTGGGATTGGATGTTCGTCTACGATCAGCTGAGGATTTAGTGTAGGTTTATAGTTTCCCGTGATACGTAATTTCCCGTTCTTTTTTGCCACCACATGTGTCGTCGAAGCCCACTCCGAGTATTCGACCCGTTTGTACACGCCCGAATTCAGCTTGGCGTCAATTTCGCGTGCATATGCATCACTCAAAGCGTAAGGAATATCTCGAGCTCTGGAAGAGACGGGTTTGTATCCGGGTTTAAAGTGCAGTTTGACAGGAGGCCCTATGAGTTTTCCAGGTTTATCGTCGAACGAGCTTTCAAACTGTGTCAGGATGCTGTTCAATTGAGCCTGTTGCTGCAACGATGGCCTTGGAGAAACCGAATTGACAGCGTGGACTGATGCTGCATTTCCAAAAAAGGTTGAGAAATTAATCTCGTTTGCAAATGCGACGATCCACTCGCAGCCCAAAAGCGAGTCGACTATGCCATCCGCCAGATAAAGGTCGAGCTTTCGAACTAAGGATCCGATTTGAGCGTTGACAGATACGCGACCGAGGTAGGAAATTCGATGACCAGAAAAGCTCGCAAATTGTTGGTTGGTTTCCAACAATTTGTATTTGATTTTGGCACTGTCAAGCGTTTGTTTGCTCATGATTGCGCATGGCGCGCCGGTGTCAATTTCCATTTTGACGTTACGTCCGTTGATAAGGACATCAAGCACCACCTTCCCAGGAAATTTGACAGAGTTGACAACGTCCATTTTGTTGAGACGTCGCATCTGGTCGACTTCTTTGGCTGGAAAATCTTCTTCAGAGTCTGAGTTTTCTCTGACTTGTCTGATGTTCCCAGATCTGCAAACGGAAGCAAGGTGACCTTTCTTATTACAGGCGTAACAGGTGGCGTCACGGTACGGGCATTGAGAACGAGCATGTTGACCTCCGCAGCCTTGACAGGCCCACTGCTTATCCTGGCTTTGACGCGGTTGATAAGGCGATCCGGTTGGTTTGTGTACTCCTTGGGGTTGTGTATGGTGTCTGCCTTGATTTGGACGTTTCGTGTACTTCAACTTTGGGGGTGCAAATCCCAACTTGTTTGCTGGTTCCAACTTGTTTTTCACTGTGTCCGATGTCAAACGAGTCGCTTCGAGAGAATTTGCGATTTCAAACGCTTCCGCAAAAGATGCTGGTTTTTTTTGCGATGACCTCATCACATGTCACTTGCGATTCGAGTCCGAACAACAGTTGTTCGATGAACATTCTGTCCAAAAAAAGCGTCAAATTCACAATATATTGCACCTTGTTTAAGCCTGAGGGCAAAGTCTGCGACTGATTCGCCCGGATTTTGAGTGAGTTTACGAAATTTGATACTCTCTGCGAACTTGTTTTTTGCGTGATCAAAATGTTTTATGAGGGTTTGCTGGATTTCGGCGTACGTCAGGTCCTGAGGTAGGCGAGGGCTAATCAAAAACTTTAACGCATCATTCAGATCTCTGCCCATGTAAACACGGGCATAGTTGGCGTGCTGCTCGGCCGGTATTTCACTCAGTTCCAGCCCAAGAGAAACGTGTGAAGTAGTCCTGAACGGTGGTGCCCTCTGTCGGGCGGTATTCAGCCATGTTGAAACGGGGTGCACGAAGATGTCCATTGTTGGCTGCGTTGGCAAGTTCGGGACCTGCAGCGGCGGCCGCGCCTGGTAACGAAGCTCGATGTGCCTGAGACAACATGGTGGCCATAGATTCCAAAAGTTCCGGTGAAACTTGTGGTGGATCGGACATTGTGACTTGGAATTTATGACAACACCAAGACTTACCGAAGCAGTGACGCGCAGGTGATCCTGGTAACAGACACTTGAAACCGGCGGGGAAGAAAAATCACTTGAGGTTATGATGGGTGCACGATGCCCAGAGAGTCTTTGTTCCACTTCGAACACTGGCACCCGATAATAAACAGTTTTCAGTGTGATAATCCCACTCCTGACACCACTTTTATATTTGTGGGTTAACACTGGTATTGAATAACACAAATGTTTGATCTGAACACAATTGTTTATTTATAATTTGAGAGGTACAATGTTGATTCTCAGCCAGATGGCTCTGTTGCCAACTTGCAACCTTAAGATCAATACACAACACAGGCCATTTGAGCCACACATAGCCATCGACTTTTGCTCAGAATTCATAATAACTGAAATGTCATGCAATAAGTTTGGTTTTTATTGAGTCTGCACTAACTGAAGTATAGTGCTTCCCATCCCCATCTTCGGTTTATATTTTCTAGAAGTGTTTGGTGTTACAAAGACATTTTCTAGTTTATATTTATTTTAATTCTCAGATTTTATTGCTTTATTTATCTTCGACAATATGGAAATATGTACCCATAGTTTTGGTTTCTTCTCAGAACTTTCAAACAAACTTTATTCCTAAGAAACACTTTTGGACAATTACTTATTAGCAATACCCTATGGGCGGCAGTTAATCAGACATAAAAAATATTAAAAGTAAAAGTCAAAGTAAAGGTGAAGATGCACCTGTATTTATAAATTAAACTAGCTGATGCTGCAATAAGTGCGAAACACGCCATTCCTTGCGTGGCGTGATATCTTCTCAGAACTTTCAAACAAACTTTATTCCTAAGAAACACTTTTGGACAATTACTTATTAGCAATACCCTATGGGCGGCAGTTAATCAGACATAAAAAATATTAAAAGTAAAAGTCAAAGTAAAGGTGAAGATGCACCTGTATTTATAAATTAAACTAGCTGATGCTGCAATAAGTGCGAAACACGCCATTCCTTGCGTGGCGTGATATCTTGCGATGCGTGGCGTGATTTTGTTATGGGAACATATGTGTTAGCTTGGATAACTCCTCCCCCGTTAAGAAGGAATTTTATGGTAAAGCCAGAAAATTGCTATTAATTATAATAGAATAAAATAGTAATAATAATAATTATAAAAGAGATTAGTTTCGCACCAATTGCACATCGACCAAAACAATATTAATTATCAATATATAATATAATAAGTAATAATAAACGTAACATAACTATTACTAAAAATTAAACACGTCTTCTAGGAATAGGAAAAGCCTCTTGGCCCGCCATTTCTTCCAATTCGCCAGTATTGTCACCATTCGGAGCTCTCTTCTTGCGAAAAATCCCAAAAAGCTTTTCCCTCACACAATACAATATTATAAAGATCGCTATAATACTCAATATGACGATATAGAGTATGTTGTTAATGTCATGCCATGGTTCCTTCATGTACGCTACCGGGTCATTCATAT